ATGCTGTACGCCTGCCTGAGAGCCTCAGTAATAACCAACTATGATAAATCAACCACTTTTTTATTGCAGCGCTCCTGCTGCCAGGGCTGCCCACTGAGCCCACTGCTTTTTGCATTAGCAATTGAACCCCTTGCCACTAGTATAAGGAATCACTCCTCCATAGCTCCGCTAATATTAGGCAGACTAGATCTTCATATCTCGCTCTATGCGGATGATATAATACTTTTTCTCTCCCAGCCGGAAGAATCTATCCCTCCGTTGCTTGAGCTTATTAAAAAGTTTGGTGAACTATCTGGTTACACTGTGAACTGGGATAAAAGTGAATTTCTGTCCTTAAAAAACAATCTGAACCCACATTTTCTCAACAGCTTGCCCTTCCATATGGTTACAGACAAAATCCGATACCTAGGCCTGATTATTCCTAAAGATCCAAAGTTGATTTATAAACTGAACTATTTAAATTTATTAGAAAAACTTAAATCTAGTATTGAAACCTGGAGGTTGCTACCCTTATCTATGATTGGGCGAGTTAATGCCATCAAAATGATGGCTCTTTTTAAGTTCCTCTATCTTTACCAAAATTTACCAATATTCCTAACGAAAACGTTCTTTAAGCTCCTAAATTCTATAATTTTCCCGTTTATTTGGGGATATAAACCACACCGCATTTCTAGAAAGCACATCTTCAAACCTAAATCCGCGGGAGGTCTTAACCTGCCTAACTTTCAGCATTACTATTGGGCGGCAAACTGCAGAGCCTTGATGTACTGGCAAGATGCATACCCCGGTAATATTACGGATTCCACTCCTGCATTGCTTGCGATCGAACAGGACCTTCCGACGGGCTCTCTCCCCGCTCTTCTGTTTTCAACCAATATACCTCCAACGCCCGTCACTGGCTTCGGCTTTGTAGTGGCCAGCTCCTTAAGAATTTGGCGACAAATAAAAAAATATATACAATTTGCCAGAATTTTCAGCTTATACCCCTATCTGTCACAACCTGTCCTTCCCCCCATCTCTGTTTGATAACACTTTTGCAATCTGGAAAGATAAAGGCCTTATCACTCTAGCTGACCTTTATATTGATAAAGTATTTGCAACCTTTCCCCAACTAAAAGGAAAATTTACACTCCCATCTTCTCATTTCTTTCGTTTTCTCCAGATTAGAGATTATACACGCAAACACATTACAGATTTTGAAACATTCCCCGCCAGTACAGATTTGTATGCACTTATAAATCAGGCTCCGGATTCTAAGAAACTTGTCACTCGTTTTGTTAATATTTTTACGGCCTGTGAATCTGTCTCTACACACCATCATAAGGAAGCCTGGGAGGAGGACTTGGGTGTCACATTTAGTGCAGAGGACTGGGATGTCTGTCTTCCGGCCATTCACAGCTGCTCAATAAACTCCAGACTTCAGCTTATCCAATTTAAAGTAACCCATAGACTACACTACTCATGCACTAAGCTGCACTTATTTTACCCTTCTGCGTCTCCAACATGCCCCAAATGTAAAGCGGCCGACGGTACTCTTGGTCACCTCTTCTGGACTTGTCCCAAACTAAGAAAATACTGGTTAGACATTATTAACTCATTCACTGCCAGCCGTTTCCTGATAGCTAAAGCCATTCGCTGCCAGCGTTTCTCGCTGTTTTTACTGTTTTTTAAAGAGTCACAGAACGTTGCGCGCTAGGATGACGTCGACGCCAAAACAACCAAAACAAAGTGCAGACTCACCTCTTAGATCAGGAAGAATCTGTGCGTTTCGAGCGTTATCCATTCTTTCGTAAACCGTTGTTGAATTGTGATTGGCAGAAGCTTTTCCGGTTCACGCCTCACTTTTTTTTTACAGCAGCGGCTCAAAACGATCTCCTAACACATGGATTTTCTGCTTCCTGATCACGTGACGTGTGACGTATGCGGATGAAGATAGACTTTAGAGTTGGGATGTTTGTTCTCATGGCGCGGGGGCTTGTTCCAACGCCCACACAGTAAAAACATGCAAATGACGGCTTTAGTCGTCATTGGCAGTGAATGAGTTAATTGCCTTTCTGTAATATATAACTGTGATATTATTCCAGACCCTTACATTGCCATACTAGGCGGGACTCGACATCTCACTAAGCTAACCCAGTCTCAGCAAAAAGCTATACAACATAGTATGGTTATTGCCAAAAGAAATATTTTACCAATGTGGAAAAATGAAAGTGTACCTTCCTTTGCGACCTGGTTGACAGAGATTGTAAGCCTGCTGCAACTGGAGAGGATCCGTCATGATGTTTGCCTAACTTCTGCTATTTGTAATAAAATGTGGCAGCCTTTCATATCTTATCTGTCAAATCTGTAGCCTTGTGAGTGATCGGCAACTTGACTGATGTTATTCAATTCAGTCCGCCCAGATGTGTTGTACTGACTAGTACTGATAGTCCTACTTTCTTTCTTTTTTCTTTTCTTCTTTGTTTGTTTTGTTTGAAAGGGTGTCTGTAGTTTGCATTCTAGGCTTAGCTGTCATCATTTGTACTTTCAGTGTTGACATTCATAATTCACAATATTTGTAAAATTGCAAATGCATAAATAAAATATTAAAAAAAAAAAAAGATAAAAACCTTCTGAGACCTACATTCACACATTCAAACACACACACTTCATTTTTAGTTTCATCCAGACACAGATTGCTTTAATACTAAGTTTTTAATACCAAAGCTTTTATAAATTGTCATTTATGAATTGTCTTTTAAATTGTCATCTTTAAATTGTTAGTAATAAATTCTTAACTTTTTAAACCTGACTATTCTTTGAAATGAAACACAGAGTGGTGTATATTGATCACTGAAAGAGCAAAGATCTCTTTAGATCTTCTGAATTAATAAATAAACTTTCGCTATTAATTTAAATCTCTTAAATTAAATATTAATTTTTGATGAAATATAGACCAAGCCAGTTGATGTATGAACTTCTATCGATTATATAAATATCCGTGGAGATATATATATAAGTTTCATTGCCAATTCGTTTGATCTTTCTCAGGATTTAACAAAGCTGAAATAGCAACAGAGTTAAATTCTAGTTATGTAGATTAACAACGCTACAACTGAGTGGGCCAGATTAACGGCAGGCCACCGGGAAGTTTCCCGGTTCTCTTGATTACCAGTTAATTTAAGGAACTAATGTTGTTGTATTCCTAACCCAAACCTCAACTAAAACTTAATTCACCCCATACTTCTAAAACTAAAGTAGTTTTTTTTTTTTTTTTTTAGTTTTATTATTTTTACTGTGATGATCTGTCAAATTTCTTCTTCGGGCTCTTGGAGAGTACAGAGACTTTTGGGCTCTTGGAGAGTACAGAGACTTTTTTCCTCCTCTCCTCCCTATCTTATCCCAAGGCTCTTTGTCTGTCTTTGGGTGTATGGCACTTCTGCATTCTTTCTGGAAACTGGAAATTATTAAAATGGACATGGTCAGTTGGTCTCTCAATGCGATTGACAAAATTTTTTCAGTGATGAGAACAGGAGAAGGGGCTCCCTGTTGCCCCTCTGGGACAGAGCCAGCTGGGCATATCATGGACTCTTGGAAACAGTGGAACCTGATCTGCCTCTCTCAACTGTCTGTAGAGGATTCTGAAGACGTCTGGATATTCGTGGTGTTGGTGTCAGGTTTCGTGCTGTTTGGCCTGAGCGGTTACCTGGCTTACCGGAACATTAATGAGCCGTCGAGGAATATTGGCTCAATCCCGGAGCTCAGGGATGGATTGTGCCGTGCTTTGAACGCACACACTCATATAAATGTCGAGATGAGTCGTAAGCTTGGAACTTTGGCTGAGCTTCAGACTCTGGCACAGAAGGTTGATGCTATCAAGGATAGAGTTGACGGGTCAGCACGGATTGGGATAGATTAATCTACGCCATTATTGGATTTAGAGGGGTTGGAGATCAACAGAACTTTAAGACAGAGAGGAAATTATCTCTGTCTGGCCCCAAAACAAGTTCTTATCTGAATCTGGTGCCCTTGAGCATGTGAGGCTGAAGAGATTACTCCCCCTCAGAAGAAATGTGGAATGCTGCAGTCGTCATGGTAACTCTGTCTCCCTATCCCATCCTGGGCAGGACTGCGACCGGTGAAGGCCGTTGAACCGTTTCCAGGAGTCACTGTGCTTTCTAAACCCAACAACCTCCTTCCCCTGTCCAAATGGAGGTGACGAGCACTGCTTATCGCGGCTGCATGCACTGATGTGAGGAGAGTCCCTAGCCCTACCTCCCCACCTAGTGGACACTTATGTTGTGTAATGTCTGAAGTCTGTTGCATTTCTGTCTGAGGTGTTTTTTGCATGGCAAAGCTGCCCTCCCTGTGGAGGGTAACTCTGGTGTGCCTTTTTTTCCTCCACCTGACCCAATCCTTATGTAAACCCTCTGATCTCTATTAAGGTAGCGCGACTCGGGTTGCGAATGACCACAGTCACCAATTCTTGTCATGTGTCTATGCCTATGTATGTATGTCTGATCTCAGAATTGTGTATACTGAAACTCTAATTTCCCTCTGAGATTAATGAAGTATCTTTGAGTTGAATTGAATTGAATGTCCTCACAATTTTAACATGTCCCCAAAAGTCAAAAATGTGTCCTCACAGCATTCGTTAGATATGCGAGCGGGCGCGCGCGCACACACACACACACACACACACACACACACATTATTCCCAGGCTATAAGGGTAAACTGTCTAGTCAGCATGCAGCTCAGGGAGTTTAATGTCCTAGTCGAGTGGGTGGAGAAAATAGATCTTTATATAATAGACGTGATTATCCATCTTTTATTTAGCGTTTGTCAGGGCTCCTGAGACATTTAAGGCTCATATGATTCACAGTGGCTCAACATTCAGTTTCCAATTGTAAATACATTTCATTCTACTGTTTGTTTAAAGAAATAATACAAATGTTATATGTGTTGAAACAAAGTTACAGCTGTCTGTAATTCACATAATATGTTTCTGTGTTTCCTACAGGTTTTCAACTGGTGGTTCTGGTTAAATAAGAAGCTTCAGAAAAACTAAGTGCTCGTGTCAACCACCAGCACCTAGATTTCCTCCATGAAAAGGAGGAACAGAAGAACCTCTGGTCTAATATGGAGGGAGAGCAACTCCATTTGAATAAGGAGACTGATGCTGCCAGGTTTCAATCCTTTAGCCATAAAACACATTTAAACAAACACACGAGAGTCCACACAAAGCAGAAACATTTTGCCTGTGAGCACTGTGGACAAAGATTTAACCAAAAGACTCATTTAAACAGACACATGAGTGTCCACACAGGACGGAAGCCTTTTGCTTGTGAGCTCTGTGAAAAGAGATTTAGCCTAAACTCAACTTTAAACAGACACATGAGAGTCCACACAGGACAGAAGCCTTTTCCGTGTGACCTCTGTGGAAGAAGATTTAGCCTGAAGTCAACTTTAAACAGTCACATGATAGTCCACACAGGACAGAAGCCTTTTCCATGTGACCTCTGTGGAAAAAGATTTAGCCTGAAGTCAACTTTAAACCGTCACATGAGAGTCCACACAAGACAGAAGCCTTTTGCCTGTGAGCTCTGTGGAAAAAGATTTAGCGTAAAGTCAACTTTAAACAGTCACATGAGAGTCCACACAGGACAGAAGCCTTTCGCCTGTGAGCTCTGTGGAAAAAGATTTAGCCAAAAGTCAACTTTAAACTGTCACATGAGAGTCCACACAGGACAGAAGCCTTTCACCTGTGAGCTCTGTGAAAAGAGATTTGGCCTAAAAGCCCATTTAAATAGTCACATGAGTGTCCACACAGGACAGAAGCCTATTGCTTGTGAGCTCTGTGAAAAGAGATTTAGCCTAAAGTCAACTTTAAATAGGCACATGAGTATCCACACAGGACAGAAGCCTTTTGTTTGTGAGCTCTGTGAAAAGAGATTTATCCAAAAGTCAAATTTAAACAGACACATGAGAGTCCACACGGGACAGAAACCTTTTCCTTGTGACCTCTGTGGTAGAAGATTTAGCGTGAAGTCAACTTTAAACAGTCACATGAGAGTCCACACAGGACAGAAGCCTTTTCCGTGTGACCTCTGTGGAAAAAGATTTAGCCTGAAGTCAACTTTGAACAGTCACATGAGAGTCCACACAAGACAGAAGCCTTTTGCCTGTGAGCTCTGTGGAAAAAGATTTAGCGGAAAGTCAACTTTAAACAGTCACTTGAGAGTCCACACAGGACAGAAGCCTTTTTCATGTGACCTCTGTGGAAAAAGATTTAGCCAAAAGTCAACTTTAAACAGTCACAGGAGTGTCCACACAGGACGGAAGCCTTTCGCCTGTGAGCTCTGTGAAAAGAGATTTGGCCTAAAGGCCCATTTAAATAGACACATGAGTGTCCACACAGGACAGAAGCCTTTTCCGTGTGACCTATGTGGAAAAAGATTTAGCCAAAAGTCAACTTTAAACACTCACACGAGAGTCCACACAGGACAGAAGCCTTTCTC